CCGCCAGGCCTGGGAAGGGAGCAGGGGGACACAGCACCTCCTAACGGGAGAAGGATGGCCAGCAGAGGCATGTGGGCACCTGCCTAATAGTAATAGTCCACTAGCTGTAGTAACTAGTAGCTGTAGTTGTTCTGCTAAAAGGTAAATTTCCCTTTGACAACAATCATCAATCATTTGTACGGCACTGAAAATTACTGCTTTTTGTACGGCACTGAAAATTACTGCTTTATCGACTTTTTGCCCTAGAGCAGTCTGGGTAGGGAGAAAAAGGAGGTATCTTGACACAGGTGAATGGGGACCAGAAGTTTCAGTTTATACCTATACTGGGCATAATTAATTAATTTTATGGTCAAGAAATTTCTTTTAAAATTTCTTGTTTTTAAGTTTATCCATTTCCAGAGAGACAGAGAGAGCAAGTGGGGAAGGGGGAGGAGGAGGGGGAGGGAGACAGAGGTGGGGGGACGGGGAGAGAGAGAATGAATGAATGAATCCCAAGCAGGCTCTGCACCGTCAGCACAGAATCTGACACGGGCTCAAACTCACGAAACGCAAGACCATGACCTGAGCCAAAACCAAGAGCCGGATGCTTAACCGACTGAGCCACCCAAGCACCCCAGTGGTCAAGAAGTTTCTAAGTGATGACTTTTTGAACAGTTACAGGAGAGGAGCAGACAGGGAGGAAATGGAACGCACCCATTACCCCTGGTGCTGTGTCCTAGAACAGCCACCCACCCAGGGCCCTCTCCTCTGTTTCCCACTCACCTGCTCTTTCCCGCGTGAGCACACTAACACATCACATCACCCTTCATCTGGCTGCTGGTCGCTTTGGTCTTTGAGTAACAGAACAAAGCATTTGTTTACCCTCAAATGTACATTAGCTCTCAGCTTAAGAGCCTGCTTCTATCTGGCAAGTAGTACCCTTCTTTTCAAAATTTGAGGTTAATAATGGATTTCTGCGTGGAGTACTGAACGCTTTGTGTGTATGCAGGAGACGATGGAAGTTCAGACGTCCACGTTCCTGAATGATCCACACAGACACCAGCACTCTACCGGCTGGTGCTATTCTCAGTGCTGTGAAAACAATGAACTCTCCTACCCACCTCTCTGGCTCCCAACATCCCAGAACTGACCAGAATTCACCAGAGGCCTGTCTGCCCTTCTCTTTCTAGAGTCTGAAAGTCCACAGAAAGGCAACATGAATGAGGAGAAAAAGAAGGAAATAGGAAGCAGACAGACAGAAACCATAGAGGAATTACTGCCATGGAACTCAATTTGTCACAAAAACTGTTATAAAAGAAAACTTGGATTTTAACAGCTCTGTAGTCCTTTCCAGCAGTAAAATCTGATGACAGGCAAATAGATTTTTAACCAGGTGGACCCAGAAATCACATCACCATGGAAGAATGTTTTCCAAAGTTTTCTGAACCTGAACTATTTATAAGTGTGTGGGCCGTATCTGAACAATTCATCTCTTTATGCAAGGAACATTACAAGTAATCAAAGGCAGTTCATGTTCCCTACTCTGCTTATTTTTTGAAAAGCTGCTTCAAGTAACAACAACAATAAAAATCATGCAAAAAAAGCAAATAAACTACAAAAGTAATACTTACCTTTGCATCATCTATGTCAAAAACATCACACCAAGGAGATTTAACACCTTTAATTGCCAGGTCAAATGAACAGGTAAAAAAAGCTACCTGAATTAAATCTGGGGGGGGAAAAAGAAAGGTAAAATTTGTGAGTTACTGTTTTCTGTAATCTTCCAAAGGCTGAATGTTTACAGAATGTCACGTGCAGCCAGTCAGAGGACCTGGGCACGTCTAGCATGGAGAAAACACGACTAAGCTTCTTCCTGGCCATCACAGACGACTCACTGTGTACTATCCCTAACATAAGGAACCGTCAGGAAGAAACCACGAGGAGGTACAAATTTCAGTCCAATGAAAATAAGATGCTTTCTCTCTACAAAATAGTAACTTTTTCAGGCTTTAAAAGTAAGGTGTTTGTTAAGAGCATATTTGCTTAACGAACCCAACAAGAAGTTTAATCCAAGAACTTTTTAAACAGAACTTGCTTTTGTTCATTTTAGAGGGCTGGAGGAGGGGACATAAAGTCATAAGCTTTCAGTCCTCATCTTGAAAATCAGCAATAAGTTCTGAACAGTTCTCTTCAATACACAATCCACACTGTAACTGTTACGAAGGAGTAGAGAGAGGATATAAAAAGGGAGAAAAGAATGCAGAAGGAGGTGAGGAAAGAATGGGCCAAGTGGATCAGGTCAGCAGGAAGGTGAGACAAAGGTCAAGAAGGAGAGAAACAAGCAGGGAACTCACACACTGGAGAGAGGGGAGACTAACAGCATCCGTTTTTCAAACTTGGCTGCTCAGTCAGGCAGATTTCCGAGCAAGGTACCCGGATTTTTACGCTGCTAACTAGCCGATTACATTTAGATGCACCTGGAATTTGACAAGAAGGAAGAAGGCAACAAGTCCCCGGGCCATGAAAGGTGGCTATGCCAGTACCAGATGAGAGCAGTGCTCTCCGGTCACGGCAAAATGGGCGACACTCGGTGTCAGAGAGAGAGAAAGAAAGTCCGCTGTGAGGCTGCCTCCTACGCTTTACTTTTATTCTTTAATTTCAGAGTCTTTCCACATTCCCAAGAAACCAGTTTTGATTTTAAAGAACTTCGCTAAAGCAGCACATAGTACAAAAAGAATATTTAATTGAGAATACACGTAGAACTCACTTAAAACCTTTCTTATGTAAACAAAAGGGTTTATAGTCCTAATACCTAACATACCATAGTGACTCCTAAGTGCCAAGGACCTTTGATGAAAGAGCCGGACTCATTCACACCCAAAGTTCCAGTTCTGAAACTGTGAAAGTCAATCCTAATGATCTAGTCTTCCACTAGAAGGGAGTCGACAGAAAAATCTCACCAAAAAACACTTACGATGATGACAGGCTACGGAACCTAACTCTGCCACTAATCATCCTGAGCAAGTGACTGTAACCTCTCAGGTCTCAATCTCCCCACCTGCAAAACAGAAATGTGAGGAAGTCTCTCAGGAGTTACAGCTTTGACCCATCTACTATGACCACGCTGATCTCTTGGTCAGTCTTGTGGAACCACAAAAATATTTCAGATGGATCAGAGATTTAAATGTTAAAAAGCTAGGGCCGCCTGGCTGGCTCAATCAGGTAAGTGTCCGACTCTTGATTTCGGGTCAGGCCACAATCTCATTGTTCGTGGGATTGAGCCCCACATCGGGCTCTACGCTGACAGCGTGGAACCTGCTTGGGGTTCTGTCTCTCTCTGTGTCTCTTTCTCTCTCTGCCCCTCTCTGGCTTGTGCTCACACATGCTCACTCTCTCTCTTTCTCTCTCAAAAATAAATAAAAATTAAAAAAATAAAACATTAAAAAACTAAAATAAAATAAAGGAAAACATAGGAAAATATAATAATCTTGGGTTAAGGGAGGATTCCTAGGCAAAATACAACACTGAACAGCCATAACAAAAAGACATACATGGCTACGTAAAAGATGCAAAGTGTATAATCAAAGGCACCATAAACACAGTTAAAAAGTGTGCAACAAATTAAGAGAAAATGTTAGCAACATACGATACGGAAAAGACTTATCCTTTGTAAAGCAAAATTAAAGGACATATAATTGACATATCCATAACACATAAAGGGTACCTATGACCAATAAGAAAAACAAAAATCCAATAGAAAATGGACAAGGTAATGAAGAGGCAATTCCCAGAAGGAATGCAAACAGCCAACACACATATGAAGAGAGGCTCATCCTCACAAGTAACCAAAGACATGCAAATTAAAGCTACATACCATTTTTCATTAATCAAATTGGCAAAAATCAAAATGACTAAAGGGGGCCTAGGTGGCTCAGTTGGTTGTGTCTGACTCTTCGGTCTTGGCCCAGGTCATAATCTCGTGGTTCCTGATTTCGAGCCCCACATCTGGCTTTGCGCTGACAGCGTGGAGCCTACCTGGGATATATTCTCTCCCTCTCTCTCTGCCTCCACTCCCCTACTCCCTCTCTCAAATAAAAAATTTAAAAAATGACTAATAGTAACCACTGTTGGATAAAATAGGAAAAGTGAGCATCTCATATATTGATATAAATTTTTCTACACTTTCACAGAACAATTTGGAAATACACGTCAAGAGGTAAAATATGCACTGTCCTTAACCCAACAACTCCAACCTACAGTATTTATCTTACAGATAAATTCTCCAGGGTGAAACCCAGACTGTAAGAATGTTCACTGTAGCATCATTCAAAAGAGTGACAAACTACGAAAAACCTCAGTAGGAAAGTGATTTCCTATAAAAAGAATTTGCACTGCATTAGCTCCAGCTCCCTCCACCAGTAAAATCTGAAGGGTTAAATAAGTTTTTAATTATCACTGACCTAGAAATTCAATTATATAGCCTGTGAAATAACACAAAATTCAGAACAAGACAGATCTGCATAAGACAGATATTCTACTAGGTAAAAATGATTATATACATCATCATCCCTCTACGTTTAAAAAAAAAAAAAAGAAAGAAAAAGTATTTAAATAGCTACAATATTTTTGAGAAGTTACTCTGCCAGGCAGTGTGCTAATGCTTTACGTGAATTAAAGAATCCTTGTGATAATCCTAAAAGAAAGGTACAATTCCTATACCCATTTTACAGAGGAAAAACTATGGCCTAGAGATATTAAGGAACCTGCCAAAGACCAGAGAGTTAGTCGATAGTATAACAGGGTCAAGATTCAAATGGAAACAGTCCAACTCCAGAACCCATGATTTCAACAACCACGCTTAGAGCCTCCAGAGAGAAGTTGCTCTCAGCTACTCCATCAGTAAAACACAACATCTGTTTCCAGTCAGAGACCATTGTTTTTACACATTTTTTTTTAATGTTTATTTATTTTTGAAGGAGAGAGAGACAGAGCATGAGCGGGGGAAGAGCAGAGAGAGAGAGGGAGACCCAGAATCCGAAGCAGGCTCCAGGCTCTGAGCTGTCAGCACAGAGCCTGACGTGGGGCTCGAACTCACAAACTGTGAGCTCGTGACCTGAGCCGAGGTCGGCTGCTTAACCGACTGAGCCACCCAGGCGCCCCTAAATATCGTTTTTTAAAAAATCTTCAGTCTTATCACCCACTAACAGAATAATGGCTAGACATTACTATAGTTATATAATGGAATTCCGTACAGAAGTTTAAAATGTAAGACTAAAATCACACACATTAAATGAAAAATAAAAAGGTGAATTAAAATTGAATTTCAGACTGCTATCATAGTTTGATACCATTCACGAAAGTTTTAAAACCTGCAAAATGATATCCCATTTATGTACAGGAACCTAAATATAATAACTGGCATGGGATGATTTAAACACTCAGTTCGTGACAATGGTTACCACTGGGAAAAAAAGAAGAGGAATGAAATCCTGAGAGGGACCAAAGGACCTCAAAGGATTTAAAGCTACTCACTGCGGCATGTTAAAATTTGATAAAACTGAGTTGTGGGTATACTGACGTTCATTAGATTAGCCTTTATGACTATACGTTTAAATGGCTTCCCGGGGCGCCTGGGTGGCGCAGTCGGTTAAGCGTCTGACTTCAGCCAGGTCACGATCTCGCAGTCCGTGAGTTCGAGCCCCGCGTCGGGCTCTGGGCTGATGGCTCGGAGCCTGGAGCCTGTTTCCGATTCTGTGTCTCCCTCTCTCTCTGCCCCTCCCCCATTCATGCTCTGTCTCTCTCTGTCCCAAAAATAAAATAAACGTTGAAAAAAAAAAAAAAAATCTAAATGGCTTCCCATTAAATAATTGATTTTGTTAAAGATTTTATGTATATATAAATATATATATATATTTGTTTATATATATATAAACAAAATTTTATTTTCAAGCAATCTCCACATTCAACGTGGGGTCTGACCTTACCATCCTGTGATCCACAGTCACATGCCCTACTGACTGAGCCAGCCAGGTGCCCCTAAAATAAATAATTTTTAAAGCTCTATAGGTGATCTCAATGTTTAGCACCTTTAAGGAAAGAGAAAAAATTCAATTTTAAACGCTAGTCTCGCATCTTTGCTATTTTGATGCTTACAAAGCATTCAGGCTCCATGATTCTAATCTTTTTCTCCCTCATCTGCTACTTCTAGTCTTTTGGAAACTTATTTACAACATACGAAATTCACAATCTTTGTATGCACATTTGTCAACTTCTGTAGTGTGATTTATAAATTCTTAGAAATCAGGGGAAAATCTTATTACTTTTTCTTAAGTTCCTATAGGTAGGTGACCACATGCCCTGGCTTTCCACCTGTGTTCCCAGCATAAGTATTAATAGTGTCTTTCAAGAGTCCCAGGTTGCATAACAAAATTGCCAGTCAGCCCATCCACTGCGATACCTACTGAGAAACACAACTGTTCATTTTTTTCAGCATCTCTAGGCTTAAAAGCCTCAAACAAAATACCCACAGCACTTTGCTTTTCACTTTCTAATACCCTCTTGAAACATTAACCTGGACATACTTCTCAACGGCTTCAAAAGCTGAAAAATTAATATAATATTTCACTTGGGGAGATAATTCAAAAATACACTTCTTGTTTTATAAAGTATGCTTACAGTTAAAGCTTTATATACCTCTGCCCTCAATAAAAAAGTTCCAGGATATTGCAAGACTCTTGTATATTAATTTACATACAGTTCAAGGAAGAATATGACTCTAAAAACAGTAAGCACGGGACACACAATTTTCTTGACCTAGAACACATTATCCTCTTAGTGTAAAATCAATTGTGGGCCTTTAAAAGGAATAACTTTATGCTTCCATATTTTTTCATTTTCAGACTTCAAGAAACATTTAAATTATTTCAGAGTTCAAATGAAAGATAAGGGGCACATTACCTGCATTTAAATTGTTGACTGGCACTTGCAAAGTAGCTGCGACCTTTTTTAAAATGTTCTGCATTTCTGGTCCCGTTTTGAAGGCTTCTACATGATAAAGTGCCGTGGCATTTTTTTCCACTTCAGTTAAAAACTTCTCACAGTGATCGAAGAATCTCATTAGTTTATCATTAATTCTTGGAGGTCCACACTCCATATCTGAGAGAAAAAAAATTATTTATTTATTATATATACCCTTACCTAAATGACGATCTCAAATTATTGAAAATTTCATTTCAAGTGTGAAAAAGAACACTAAAAACCTGCTTATTTATTGGCGTGTCTGAAATAAGAGCACACTGACCAAGGAAGGGCCAAACTGTGGAATGACCGTAATTCATGAGTCTGTGGTAGAGAAGACTAAAGAAACAGAGGATCAAATACAAAATAAAATGTTACCGCATGCAGTACTACACAGTGAAAAAAGGTAGCTGAAATAAGTATTTTCTTAAAGAAAACAAAAATAGAGATGAAAATCATCAAAAGTGCAAAAATGTGTTCTATTAAGTATTACTTCTGCCAGGCACAGAAAACTTGGGAAAGCAAATTGAAAATTAGCAAAATTCTTAATTACAAAGTGAGAGACGAATTCAACCAATCGAATCTGTTTTTCTACCCTAAGCCAAAATCTAAATAGGGTGTTTTATTTTCTCGATTAACGTGCCCAGTGCTGTCACTTTCCAAAACATTCCGCTTTGGACAAAAACTACTGACAACAGCACAAAATACAGGAACTGAGTTTCAGGTCTTCCATTTCACGGTGCTTCTAATTTTGGCTTATTTTATAATGAAAGTTCCCAAAGACCTTCTATTTAGGTCTTGGGAATTACATATTTCGCTGATTTGGCAGTGAATATGTATTGTAAAAGCATCTGCAATCATGCGTTAACTACCGGGTACCTTTAAGTTTTTTCGGTCATATTCAAAACACATCCATTTCAGTCCTCATTTCTCCAACAATTTACCATGAAATGAACACCAAAAATACTACTTCTGTCTACAAAATGAGAAAATGAATGAAGTTATTATTTTGCTTTGGATGTGGGTGTGAAAAAAATATATGGATGGATGTGTGTCTATCCATTTTCGGAAGATCCTGAAATGGATAATTTTGCCCACTTTAACTGCCAATTGGATTACAGTTCCAAAAACATCTTGACTTGGAAGTAAGGGACCTTTGTCATCTTTCTCTGTGGACTCAAAATATGGTTTCCCAAGTGGACCTGGATATTTCATCCTTGCTATTATCTCATTACGGCTGCTCTTTAAACAGAAAACAAACAAAAAAAGCTATTGTCCCGTTTCTGTAAGAATACAAAACCTAACTCAGTGGCTTCTCTCAAAAGCCTGGATGTACACAACAGGCAAAACAACGGCCTATGGATTATAATGATGTAGCTAGACAAAGAGTTCAATCTCTAAGAACTCATCTCAGGAGGTCCAGGAGCCCCCTTTTTGGTATATACTGTATATATTGTGCTATACTGAAGTATGTTCTGCTTTTAACGTTCAGCTCACAGATTTGTGGGGCATCTTCACTCATGTTAATCATTAAAAAGCACAATTCAACAAGTGACTAAACACAGCCAACGGTTACCCGCACAGCAGTAACAGGACGCAGGAATGACCTCCTGGAAATGGTTGAGCTTCGTTAAGAGAATTCTACTGGAGAAACGGCAAACCAGTCTACTCCTAATTTACTTTTCACTGGGGTTTAAAGCTAAACAATGTCTCACCTCATCTCTGACCTTAAAATTGGCCAAGAAAACATGAACACGTGTCCATCTCTTTGGCACAAGCACGTTGTATTTTTCATCTTCATTCTTAAGTCACGGGACAAATGGAAGGCAGAATGCAGGGCATAATGGTTAGGAGCCCACGTGCTGAATCACATCTCCCGGGCCCATACCTAGCCATATGAAAGTAGGCTAATTATTTAGTGTTTCTGTGTCTCAATTTCCTCTTCTGTTACGTGGGGAGAAAATACTGCCAACCTCAGAGAGCTTTTGTAAGGATTTAGTGAAATAAATGTTAGGCATGCCTGGCACATAGCCTACACCGTAGCTGGCCTTAAGAGTATGTGATTAGTATCTGTGACTATTAAAAATTTTCTGAGGGGGGAAAAAAAGGCACCGGTTGGAGGGAGAAAAAGAAAACACTGATTCCTGGCCCGACTCTAGTCCTCAAACTCACCAAGGACAATCAACAAGGCATATTCTGGGGCCCGGCTTCTTCACCTGCGGAATAGACGGTTCTCTTATTTTGCAAAAGAGTAAGTGATGGAATAAATTAGGAGAGAACTGAGCGCGACCGTGAATCACAGCTAAGGGATGGTACTCTACAGTACATACAAGAACAAAACAGAGAAAAAAGTGATGAGGGAGCCTGGGGCGGGCTGAGGACAAAATGCAAGCTAGCACACCCCCCCCCCC